GCCTAGGGTCAACGGGCGCGCGGGGCAGCAGGGGCGATGGGCGGGCCGGGGCCTAGGGTCGACGGGTAGGCGGGGCCTAGGGTCGACGGGCGGGCTGGGCCTAGGGTCGACGGGCGCGCGGGGCAGCAGGGGCTACGGGCGGCGCGTGAGCCAGCAGGGCGGCTAGTGGGGCAGCGCTGTGGTGGGCCCTAAAAAAAACGGTCCTAACGAAGAACCTGCTCTGAATCCATGTCAAAGGAATGAACGAGAATGAATGAACTATGAAAGAGTTGGGTACAAGTACTAACCCTAATTGGGTTGTACCACTTATGGACTACCCCACTATAGACTACACAAAGTAAGCAATATAAAATTCTGACACAAACACTGTGCTTAGAAAATGCATGAAAAATATATTTTCAAAGGACATGGATTGCACTAGGTAACTTCAAAGCAGCTAACGCTACAGGATGGCCCTTGCCAACAAAGCATTCGAAATGGCATTGGTGGATGGAGGAATTCTGAGATTAATACAAAGACACTCATTGCAACAGCAGCCGTCTGCCACGTTATATACCATACCCTGGGCCTCAAAAGTCAGGAATTTTACCCTGTTTGACCCTTCTTTTTTTTCTTTTTTCTTTTTCAGGATGTTTACATATATTTTATAACGAATACAAAGCGCAGCAAGGGAGCGAAATATCGCAAGTTCAGTGAGTGGGGTTGGAAAGAGAGTGACCCAGGGAAGGGAAAGGGAGGTGATAAAGGATTGAAGAGAGTGACCTAGGGTAGGAAAAAGGAGGTGAAAAAGGAGTGAAAGTACAGCCGACACATAGGGAACCTCATCAAGTCGCCCCACCAAGACACCCCATCAAGACACCCCGTCAAAACACCCCATCAAGACACCCCAGAAAGACAGCCCATCAAGACACCCCATCTAACCCTCCCTCCCCCCCCCTTAACCCATCATCTACATCCGCATGTCCACCAAGTAGGGCGCATCCGCCCACGGAGCATCCCACCCGACATCCTCTTCAAAATCGGCCTCTCATCATAGACGCCGCGCATAATAAGATCACATGCGCCTGAGCTCACTGCAAGGCCACCCCAACGGCTGCTCTAAGTGACCCGAGTAGATACGACGAAAAACCCATTCCCGTGGCCCTCGCCTCTCCTTTCGTCTTCGCTACCTCAATCTGCGCCTCGCCCAATTTCTTAAGCCATCTTCCAAAACTCCCTCCCATACATCCCCAGGTCTCTGCAATGAGAGGTGTGAACTGTACTCCCCTATGCTGCTGCAAAAGCGATTTGTAGTCCGCCACCTTCCGCTTTTCCCTCTCCCTAGTCGCAAAGCCCACCTTGCGACCAATCTGTCGGTGGTGCTGTGCTGACAGAGAGATAGGGTCTACAGCACTAACCTCTAGCGCATGCTCCTCCCCCTCCCTCAGTCTCCGAACCTGTCAAATTGCATTTGTATGTCTCTAGGCTGTAGTGGGGCATGCTCTAAGGGGTACAACGCTTTAGGTCAACCCTAGTACTTGTACTCATCCTTGCATCCTAGACAACCATTCCTATATACTATTTCTGACATGGCATTCAGAGCGGGTCCATCCGTAGGACCACTCCGTTAGGGCCCACTGCTAGTTTAGACCTGCCCGTACTGCCCTGCCCGAACAGCGTTCCTCACACTGCCCTGCATGCGCTGCCCCACGCGCTCTACCCTGCCCCTCGCGCCGCCCGCTTGCTGCCCAGCGCGCGACCCGCACACTGCCCTGCTGGCGCAACCTGCACGCGCGCTGCCTGAGGCCTACGCGCGCCCTGCCCGCACGCTGTCAAAATAGTAGCTTAGTTAAGAGCTAGGTTGAAGTTAGGGCCTAGGCTTAGAAGCCTAGGCCAAGGTGATATCGAGGAGGTTGTGCCAAGGTAGAGTAGAGAGAATGATGGTTTCACTATAGGAACATATGGGAAACAAGAACAATGCAAGGAGGTGCACCACCACCAAACATGAAAGAACTACACTAGCACTACAAACAATTATATAAAATATGAATAACATATTTTGACACACGCTGCACCCGCTGCCCGCACGCTGCCTGCGCTGCCCCCGTGCTGCCTGCACCACCCGCGCGCTGCTCGCCCTGCCCGCGATCTTTTTGCGCGCTGCCTGCACCGTCGGCGCCCTGCCCGCGCACCGCGCGCCCTGCCTGCCCACTGCCCGCACGCTGCCCTTACGGCCCGCACAGCCTGCGCCCTGCCTGTGCACAGCCCGCACCAGCGCACAGCCCGCGCCCTGCACACGCTGCAGCTGCTGCTAAGCTGCTGCCGCCGCCCGCGCTGCGCCGCCCTACCCTGCCGAGCCGCGCAGCCCTGCCCGAGCCGCGTCGCGCCGCCCGAGCCGTGCTGCCCAGATGAGTTGCGCCGCCCTGCTGCTACTGCTGCTACTGTTGCGGCTGCTGCTGCTGCTTCTTCTACTGCTACTGCTACTACTGCCATTGCTTATGCCCATTATGGCTACACTTAATGTCCTTACCTTTGACGCGGAGGGGCGCCCGATTAGGTTTGTCTGCTAGCTCGAGGATCTCCAGCTGTACCTGCAGAGCATGGCTAGGGAGGAAGTTTCACTGTTAGGAGTCAGCCTGGCTCACGCGCGATGCTGTCACCCGCCTTTCTGTCCGCAATGCCCTCTCGCTAGAGGAACGAGTCCATTTTGGCCAGCTTAAGATGGCGAAGGAACTCTATGACGCCGTAGTTGCTCGTTACTCCTCCCCCTCTACTGCTGCTCTAGGTCGTATCATGCTGCCGTACCTCTTGTCTGAGCTGTCGGATTTCCCCGCTATCGCTGACCTCATGACCCACCTTCGCTCTAGTGACGTTCGTTACCGTGCCGCTCTCAAGTCGGCCTTTCTCGCTTCTAACCCGCCTCCGATGGACAAGGCAGTGGGGGTTCAGCGGTGCACAAGGCAAAGGACAGCATCTCCTACCGGACCGGTTGTGGAAGCAGCTCCAACGCTCTCGCGAACCAGGGATCCAGCAATCAGGGCTCTTGGTAGGATCAGAGGACGTCTGATGCATCAGACGGGTCCCCCGGGCATTAGACATGGTTTTGTCTAATCCTGACTGGAAAATCCTATGAATCCAGAAAAGTATAAAAATCAGACCATCAGACCAAATTAGTCTGATAACAAGAGCCTTGCCAGCAACGTCGTAGTCTCGGGCGTGCGAAAAACTCCTCAAACATCCGCTCCTCCCCTGCCACCCCCATTCGAGCCACATCGCTCGCTGCCCGGCACCAGCCACATGCGTACGACAAAGGACCCTAAGCCACATTTTTTATCATGACCCTAATGCATCAGCCTTTTTTTTTATCGACCCTGATGTTACAGTGTTTTTTAATTTCGAACTCTGTTTTTTCAGTGTTTTGTGTTTGAGGACAATGATGAGTCTGTCAGAATATCATGTTTCTCTAGTCTGCAGTGGGGTACTCAATAGTGAGTACAACCCTGTTAGGGTTTCCTATATGTACCCAATTGCTTTCTAGTGCAATCATCCTTTCTCACTTCAATTTCTCTCGTCAAGATTCTCACATGGTATAGAGCAACTTTCGATCCTAAGGGCCCACCACGTCTTCAACTTTTTTTTTTCCTCACCTTCCTGCCGCGCGCGTCGCGCCTACCGTTAAGGCCCCGTAAGGCCCCGTCAGGCCCCGTTTACGGCCCCGTAAGGCCCCGTTTACGGCCCCACTTACGGCCCCGTACGGCCCCTTAAGGCCCCGTCGGCCCCGTTTACGGCCCCGTCAGGCCCCGTCGGCCCCGTTTACGACCCCGTAAGGCCCTGTACGGCCCCGTTAGGTCCCGTAAGGCCTCGTTTACGGCCCCGCTTAAGGCCCCGTAAGGCCTTGTAAGGCCCCGTCGGCCCCGTTTATGGCCCCGTAAGGCCCTTTAAGGCCCCGTTAGGCCCCGTAAGGCCCCGTTTACGGCCCCGCTTAAGGCCCTGTACGGCCCCGTAAGGCCCCGTCGGCCCCGTTTATGGCCCCGTAAGGCCCCGTAAGGCCCCGTTAGGCCCCGTAAGGCCCCGTTTACGACCCCGCTTAAGGCCCCGTCGGCCCCGTTTACGGCCCCGTAAGGTCCTGTTAGCGGCCCCGTCAGGCCCCGTCAGGCCCCCACCCACCCTGTTGCGGCCCTGTTCCGGCCCTGCCCCGGCCCTACCCCGACCTGTCGCGGCCCTGCTGCGGCCCTGTCGCAGCCCTGTCCCGGCCCCTTCTACGGCCCTGCTCCGACCCGGCCCCGGCTCTGCCCCTACCCTGCCCCTGCCCTGCCCCTGCCCTGCTCCTGCACTGCTGCGGCCCGGCCCCGGCCCTGCCCCGGACCTGTCGCGGCCTCGCCCCGGACCTGTCCCGGCCCTGCCCCGGCCCTGCCCCGGCTCTGCCCCGGCTCTGCCCCGGCCCTGCGCCGCCCCTGTCCCGAGCCTGTCACGGCCCTGCCCCGACCCTGTCGCGGCCCTATCGCGGCCCTGCCCCTGCCATGCCCCGACCCTGCCCAGGCCCCGCCCCTCTCATGCCGGTCGTGGCGCACCAGGGGCCCGTGCACCGCCCCCCCCCCCTTTTCCCGTCGCCTTGCGTGGCGAGCGGGGGGGGGGGGGGGGGGGCGCGCGGGGGGGCGCGCGTCGCCCCTTCTTCCGCCTGCTCTGGCGCCCTGGGAGGCCGCGCGTCGGCCCCCCGTACTCCCCCCCCCCCCCCTCAGGTCGCCTCAACAGGCGACGGGAGGGGCGACCTGGAGGGGGGGGCCGTGCGTCGGAGCAGCCGCCCCTGGTGCAGCCGCCCCTGGAGCAGCCGCCCCTGGTGCAGCCACCCCTGGTGCAGCCACCCCTGGTGCAGCCGCCCCTGGAGCAGCCGCCCCTGGTGCAGCAGCCCTTGGAGCAGCCGCCCCTAGTGCAGCCGCCCCTGGTGCAGCCGCCCCTGGAGCAGCCGCCCCTGGAGCAGCCGCCCCTGGAACAGCCGCCCCTGGTGCAGCCGCTCCTGGACCTCAGCAGCCGCCCCTGGCCCCTGGCCCCTGGAGCAGCCGCCCCTGGACCCCCCCTCCTCTCCGCCCTTTTCTCCTCTCCCTCCCCCTGCTGCGGGTGCAGCAGTGGGGGGGAGGGGATCTGCCATCCCCCTGGAACGGATGCGGCAGTGGGGGGAGGGGACCTACAGCACCTGCCTGCCCCCCCCGCCCCCCCCCCCCCCTCAGGTCGCCTCAACAGGCGACGGGAGGGGCGACCTGGGGGGGGGGGGCCACGCGTCGGAGCAGCCGCCCCTGGTGCAGCCGCCCCTGGTCCTGCCGCCCCTGGTGCAGCCGCCCCTGGTGCAGCCGCCCCTGGAGCAGCCGCCCCTGGTGCAGCAGCCCCTGGAGCAGCCTCCTCCTCCCTCACCTGACCCTGCTCCTCCCTCACCTGACCCTCCTCCTCCCTCACCTGACCCTCCTCCTCCCTCACCTGACCCTCCTCCTCCCTCACCTGACCCTCCTCCTCCCTCACCTGACCCTCCTCCTCCCTCACCTGACCCTCCTCCTCCCTCACCTGACCCTCCTCCTCCCTCACCTGACCCTCCTCCTCCCTCACCTGACCCTCCTCCTCCCTCACCTGACCCTCCTCCTCCCTCACCTGACCCTCCTCCTCCCTCACCTGACCCTCCTCCTCCCTCACCTGACCCTCCTCCTCCCTCACCTGACCCTCCTCCTCCCTCACCTGACCCTCCTCCTCCCTCCCCGTCTGCGCCCCACTCTCGGAAGCACTGCCGCAGGTTGCAGGCCAGCAGGCCATCGCCTGCCCCCACCTGCCTGCCGCACATGGGAGGGCGGCACGGAGATTGTTGAGAGGAGAGGAAACAGACACATAACGAGACTTGCACGCGTAGCGAGGTTGTTTTTGAGACGTCTCAAAAACAACCTCGCTACGTATGGCACCGCATGTATGGCACCGCATGTTCTCATTTGAGTGAAGGCAACTGAGAGCGAGGAGAGGTGAGAGGGGAGCATGGCAGAGCAGAGCATGGCAGAGCAGAGCATGGCAGTGAAATTCATCAGAAATCTGAGCCTGCGCCTCACCCCCCTCTCTCCCCCCCTCACACCCCCACCACCACCACTGCCCTTCACCCCCAAACATTGGCAGACGTGCCATTGACAGCAATGCGCCTCACCCCCCTCTCTCCCCTCCCCCCCCCCCACACCCCCACCACCACTGCCCTTCACCCCCACCACTGCCCCTCACCACCCTAATGCCCCTCACCCGCCCCATTGCTCCTCACCACCCTAATGCCCCTCACCCGCCCCATTGCTCCTCACCACCCTAATGCCCCTCACCCGCCCCATTGCTCCTCACCACCCTAATGCCCCTCACCCGCCCCATTGCTCCTCACCACCCTAATGCCCCTCACCTGCCCCATTGCTCCTCACCCCCAGCAGCAGCAGCACCTCACCTCCAGCACGGTGAGGGATGTGAGTCCACTCGTGCGCCTGTAGTGCCCTGCTCGGTCCCTGGGGGGCATAGGAGGGGGGCAGAGCATGGGAGGGGCAAGGCATGGGCGGGGAAGGGCATGAGAGGATGGAATTTGCAGTTGGGAGAGATAAGACGCGTGGCACGGGGAAGGGGGAAGGAGAGAGGAGACTTTAGCCCTCAACTTCGAGCACGAGTGTAACGTATCAAGGCAAAACAAACACATACACACGAAGAACAAAAGGAAGGCGGGGTGGGTGGGATGGGATGGGATGGATTGCAGCATAGGTGTGTGTAACGGACTGACCGGATGTAAGCAGCGAGGGCGAGCAGCATGTCTTGTGTGAGCACCTCGTAGTGCACCCTTGCTGCCATGCCCGGTGCACCACGCTGCCCTGCCACTCCCACTCCCACAGCTGGCATCACTCCAATTGTGCACCCCCCACGCTGCTGCTCAGAATCAGGATGTTCCTGCAGCTGCTCACTCTCCCCCGTCCCATCGTCACCTGCTCCAGTGGCTGCCTGCCACGTGGCAGGCCAGCTCAGCCTGCCAGCAGTGAAATTCTTCCATTGTTGGCATCCGTGGCACGTGCAGGACACCACGCCCCCTGGGGTGATCTGACGAGCCGTGCGAGGCAGGGGACACAGAGGGGAGTGCAGGGGAGAGGGGCAATAGCGGAGTAGGAAACGATGCCCGATGTGGTGATCAGAGGGAAGATGGGAGAGGGTAGCGGGGAGAGGGGCATAGTGGGATGCTGCGAGGCCCGGAGCAGAGTTCAAGGGGAGGGAAGGGAGGGGGAGGGGAAAGGAGAAGGGGACGGAGAGGGGGAGGAGGGGGGGGGAGGGGAATAAGGGGATGACGGTCAGGGGCGGTGGGGAGAGGAGGGCAAGCACGGCGGCCAATGCGAGGAGGGCAAAAGGTCAATCAGGGAGGGAAGGGGATGGTGAGACATCCGGCAGAGCGATACTCGGTTGCTCCAACTAAAGTGCTGCGACCAGCAGTGGTTACAGAGCTGCGCTCGCCCTAACACGGCCGCGCTCGCCCTTGCAGAGCCGCGCTCACCCTGCCCCGCCCTTCAGAGCGGGGCAGTCGCGAGCGCGGCTGCGTCGGGAGGATGCGCCCATCACGCTGATGCGCCCATCACGCTGATGAGCCCATCACGCTGATGCGCGCATCACGCCGGGCGGAGACGTGAATTCAGTGTTTGTGTCGATCGCACTCTCGCACGTGCTGCTAATGCGGCAATGCGGCAACATCAGCACGCGTAGCATCAGCGCAAGCGCACGCGGGAGTCACCTGCGGGGTGCGCGCGGGAGTCACCTGCGGGGTGCGCGCGGGAGTCACCTGCGGGGTGCGCGCGGGATTCACCTGCGGGGTGCGCGCGGGATTCACCTGCGGGGTGCGCGCGGGATTCACCTGCGGGGTGCGCGCGGGAGTCACCATCACCTGCGGGGTGCGCGCGGGATTCACCATCACCTGCGGGGAGCACGCGGAGCCGTCGAAGAGGCCGAACGCAGCGACGACGTCGCGGAACGCGGGGAGGCCGAGGGACGGCCGGGAGTACGCAAGCCGTCCGTGCGTCGCCGAGTGCACGCGAGGAGCCGCCATGCACGCAAGAAATTGAGACCGCTTGGAAGCACGCCGCGGCTTTCTACATTTTTCAGAAAAAAAAAAAACTTTAACAAGAGAGGCTCGGGTTCTTGAACGCTGCTGTCCCGCGGAAAGGTCCTCGTCGTGAAGGCTCTTCAATTGAGCGCGATCGCTGGCTTGGAGAGAGGTGGTGTGGACGGTTCGGCATGTCCTGCCAGACGGATGAGCGGAGCCTAGTGGGGCTCGGTGAAGGTCGGTAAATCTTGATAGAATATATATCATTCCCCATTTTGAATAATGAATTCTTAGGTGCCAGATATTACAGAAACTGCAGGAGAACAATTCATCAACCCATTCATATATTCTACAACTACCGTACGTGCAAATGCAAGGCAAATACAATATTTCATCTATCAACAGCTAACCATCTTTCTTTCCATTCCATCAGTCATTAACTATCGTTGGCCCCTGTACACCTCCACCCACCTGTGCTTGCTCCTCCAGTTTCTCCCACACCCTCCTCGCCATGCCCTCATATGTCGCAACCACCGCTGCCTCCGCCCCACCACTCCCTGCATCTGCCCCTTCCTCTGCCGCTCCTCCACCTTCTGCCGCCCCGCCTGCTGCTGCACCACTATCAGCCGCCCCACTGTCTGCCGCCCCACCGTCTCTCCCGCTAGCAGCAGCAGGAGAGGCGCCGAGAGCAACGGGGAGGCCGCTGTCTGAGCGACTGCGGATGGACGGCAGGAGAGGCACCTGGGAGAGGGGGAAGGGGTGAAGAAGCGGATTGAGGGAAGAGGGGAAGGGGGAAGAAGGGGAGTGGGGGAAGGGGGAAAAAAGGGGAAAGGGGGGAAGTGGGGAAGGTGAGAACGGCGAAGGGGGGAGGCAGGAAGGGGGCGAGAAGGAAGGGGGGAAGGGGGGAAGGAAGGGAGGAAGAAAGGGGAAAGGGAAAATGGGGACGGGGGGAGAAAGAGGCGAAGGGGGGAAGGGGCGGAGGTGGGAAGGGGGGAAGTGGGGAAGGTTGGGAGAGAAAATAGGGGAAGCAACGGCATGACGAGTGGAACAAGATTTTGCGAGTCTATCGCAAGAGGCACATGGGGCGGAGGTGGGCAGAATGGCACAAGGGAGTGTGAGGAGGGAGGACGTGGCATGGCAGTGGCTGTGCGTGCATGAGCACATGGCATGGGGAAGGCACAAGAGTGTAAGGAACAGGGGGTCCAGGGCAAGTAATAGTGAGTGACAAGAGGGCAGGGGGGTGGGCAAGGATGGAGGGGTTGGAGGAGAAGGCAGGGGAGTGGTGGTGGAGAGGGAAGAAGTGGCCTTCAGGGGGATGAAGGGTGTGAGCGCAACAAACAAGACAGAGGCAAACAAGGCAGGGAAGGGAGGAACACAAAGAGTACACCATGAAACCCATGAACCCAAGTTTTCCTGCAACCCACCTGTGCCAGCAACCCATCATCAACTCCCCCAGCAACCCACCTCTGCCAGCAACCCACCTCTGCCAGCAACCCACCTCTGCGAGGAACTCGATCTCCAGGTCAGCAGCAGCCTGTCTGGCGCCTCCATGGCCGAAGATGTTTGAGCGGTGGGAGCAGGCCGAGCAGGTGAAGTAACTCATGTTCTCCACCACGCCCAGCACCTGCATGCAGGGGCGGTCAGGGGTGCAGGGGCGGTCAGGGGTGCAGGGGCGGTCAGGGGTGTAGGGACGGTCAGGGGTGCAGGGACGGTCAGGGGTGCAGGGACGGTCAGGGGTGCAGGGACGGGCGCATGCAGGGACGGGCGCATGCAGGGACGGGCGCATGCAGGGACGGGCGCATGCAGGGACGGGCGCATGCAGGGACGGGCGCATGCAGGGACGGGCGCATCACGCTACAGCCCCACTGCAACACCCCCACCCCAGCACCCACCAGCAGAGCACCCACCGTCCCACCACCCCAGCACCCCATCACCGACCACCCCAGGACCCACCATCCCACCACCTTATGACGGAGCATCCCATGACCCACCACCCCAGCACCCACCGGCACGTTGACCTGTCGGAACATGGTCACTCCCCGCCGGGCATCCATCAGTGCTAGGTCCTGCGGTGTCGACACCACCACCGCCCCTGGTGGGGGGGATGGGTGAATGGGAGGAGAAATGGGAGAGTAAGAGGGTGGAGGGACGCGAGCAACTGAAGTGAATTAACCACCCGCACCTCCCCACCTGCACCTTCACACCTGCACCTTCACACCTGCACCTCCACACCTGCACCTCCACACCTGCACCTCCACACCTGCACCTCCACACCTGCACCTCCACACCTGCACCTCCACACCTGCACCTCCACACCTGTACCTCCCCACCTGCACCTTCCCAGCTGCTACACGCAGTACAGCCAACACCAGCACGCACCCACCCAACTACACCGCTGACTCTCGTGCTGCTCCAGGTGCAAAAATTCGTTGAAGTTTTAATGTTTCGTGGAAAATTCTTGCTGCCAGAAATTCCGATAATTTTGGTCAGAACAGTATTTTTGTAAGTGAAAAACATGTCGCCCGGAATTAAATTGATATAAAATAATATAAAGTGTTTGTAGACTAATAAAGACGTGCATATCTTACTGAAAACGTGTCATCTGTCAACGATGAGACTGAAGAAATAGATGATCAAAGTCTCGCCGAAAAAAAAAAAAAACAGAAATCGACAAAAAATTCCGACAGAGGGTTTAGGGTGCTGCTGGCCAGGCTTCGTACCATGCCATCCCAACCCGTTACCCATCCCATCCCCATCCCCTCCCCTCCCGTCCCAACCCATCCCGGTGCGCCCATCCCATCTGCCACACACACACCTGATAGCCTGACCCGCTGGCTCATGCTGAGCTGCACGTCGCCCGTGCCGGGCGGCATGTCCACCACGAGCACGTCCAGCCGCCCCCACTCCGTCCCCCTTACAAGCTTCTCCACTGCCGCCATCACCATGGGCCCGCGCCACACGGCCGCCACGTCAGCAGGCATGAGGAAGCCCATGGACATGCAGAGCACGCCGTGTGCCTGCAGTGGCAGCATGCGCGCGTTGGGGGAGGGTGACGCCAGCTGGGGGCGGCCGGCAGTGGCCAGGCCGAGTAGCTTGGGCAGTGAGGGGCCGAACACGTCGGCATCTAGCAGCCCCACCTGCAGGCGCATGTGTCGTGAAAGGGCTACTGCTAGGTTTACTGCGACGTGGGGGAAGGAGGAGGGGAGGATCGTGGGAAGGGGGATAAGGGGGGGAGTGGGAGCGAGAGGTGGATGGAAGGAGGCAGAGGCAAGCAGCCCCGCCTGCAGGCGCATGTGATGGGCGAGAGACACTGCCAGGTTCACTGTGGGGGGAGGGAGGAAGGGGGAATCGAGGGAAGGGGGAATGGGGGGGAAGGGGGAGCGAGAGGTGGATGGAAGGAGGCAGAGGGGTGGGGGCACAGTGCAGGACGAGCAGGTTGGGCAGTGAGGGGCCGAAGACATGGACGTAGAGCAGAGGCAGTTGGACGTGAGGCGATGGGCGAGCAGCACTGTGCGGTTCAGTGCAGGGCACTTGAGATGGGGGACGGGGAGACGGGGGAATAGGGGGTGAGGGGATAGAGGAATGGCGGGAGGCGGATGGAGGGATGGGGGATGCGGGAAGGGGCTTGGGGAGGGTGGGATAGGGGGAATGTAAAGATCGGTGAATGGGGGGATTGGGGGAATGGGAGGATTGGGGGGATGGGGAAGGGGGAATGGATGGAGGAAATTTGAAAATGGGGGTTGGGGAAGATGGGGGGGGTAGCGGGAGATGGTCATGGATTGGAGGCATGGGTTGAAAGGCATGGGGTGAGATGAATTTTAGGAGAGAAACGGGGTGATAGGGATGGGGAGCGTGGTAAGTAGATGGAAGGAGGCAGAGCTGAGCAGTGCGTGCGTGGAAGCCCGTGGACATGGAGAAAAATGGGGAGGGGAAGGGAAACGGGGAGGGGGATGTGGAAGGGAGGGGGAGGGAAATGGGGAGCGGGATGGAGAGGGGGAAGTGGAGGGGGTTGAGGAGGGGGATGCGGAGGGGCACGTGGAGGGGAGGGGAAGGGAGGTGGGGAGGAGAAAGGGAGGGAAGGTGGGGTGGAAGGGGAGGGGGAGGGGGACGCATAGGGGGAATGGGGAGTGAAGTGAGGAGTGGGAGAGGGAGGGAGAGGGTGGGATATCATGTGCGTAGAGGAAGCGGCGGGAGGCACGGCGCTGAGGCGGTGAGGCGGGGAGGCGCACCGGCAGTGGTGGACTTGCCGACGCCGCCTTTCGCGGACGCCACCGCCACGATGTGCTTCACCCCGGGCAGCGACAGGCTGTCGCCGCCGCCGCCTCTGCTGTTTCTGCCGGCGCTTCTATCGCCGCTGCCGCTGCTCACAGTCCTGCTGCTCCAAATATTCCTACCAGTAATGCTTACACTCGGTTCACTGCTGCTGCTGCATCCGCTGCAGGTAGTGCCGCGGAAAGCAGGGTGAAAAGGCCGGTCCAGCTTGGGACCGGCGTGTGCATGCGATTCGCGCGGAGGAAGCGACCTGCCATGCGACTCTCGCGAAGCGGGCGAAAAGTCATAAGAATTTCTTAGCACAGTTTCAGCGGCGGCTTGCCCGCTAAATCGTCGAAGCCAGTCTTCGCCACGGCCGTGCGACGCGACGCTTCGACAGAGGCTCTTGCACTGCCGCAGTGCGAAGCCGCGATCATACATTTTTCCTCCTGGTTACCAGATCTGACGGTCGCGGGAACCTGCGTTTCCAGGGTGGGCTTGTGTTTCGGCCTTCCTGCTCCAGTGGCTTTAGGGGAACATTGATAAGAGATTTGGCTTTGGTACAACACCTGATTACTGTAATTGGCGAAGGACTCAACCTGGCCAAGGGCGCGTAACTTTTTCCAATTTTGTTCGTCTGGACGATGAGCCGTCCGGATGACAAGAGACCTACTTCGCGATAATTCGCTTATTTTTTCGTGAGTTCCCTGGCTACGTCGCGGAGGGAGGACAGTTTAGAGTGTGTAACTTTCTCCAAATCAGTGACAAATGTCAGAATCTCATTTGCGCACGAAAACAACCGCGACATCAATCTGACTTCGTTCACAACATTGAACTGAGTGACCACATCCACCAGCAAATGAACCAAACCAACGAACCACTCGAGCATCACTTCAGCAACATCAAGCAATGGACCCATCATCCGTCAATGACAACTCCAAACCTGCTAGCACTCCAAAAAAAGGTTGGCATCGCAACAGAATCAAGCCCTGTCTTCGCACACAGCATGAGGGTGAGAGAGAAGCACCCAGTTCCTAATTTTAGGGTTTCCAATTTCCAACAATTTCGTACGGACAGTGTCAGACCATTCTCCAGCCCAGGCAGCCACGACAACCAATTTAGGGTAGAATACTGAATTTGGCAAACCTGCTGGATTGTGTGTTGCTATTCGACATCATATCCACATAGTCTTTCGCCATCTGGAGCAACAATGCAGGGCGGGTGAGGAAGTGCGTGTCAGCTTGTCAATATTATCCAATCAGCAACCGCTGCCTGCCACGTCAGTAGCGTCCGCTGCTGCTGGCACCAGGTCCCGCTTCACCTCGCACATCTACTCCCAATATAACCAGTGCTCGTGGTTTCACCTCCCGCTCGCACATCTCCTCCGAGTGATAAGACTAGCGCTCGTTTCAGTAACAGCTCGTAGTACATAGTACCAGTGGTTGCTTCGGCTGATAATTAGTGAGTCGATAAGAGCCCTGCAAGTTCACATCTGACATGGCTTTCAAGGTCAGATTCAAAATCCCAGCTAGTCTTACGAGCTGTGGATCTAACGGTACGAAACGAAGGCGAGTCCGCGGGATGCGTCACGGTTGAAGACGGTCGTATGAGTAACAACCGCTTTGGAATCAAGCCGGCCGCAGTCAAGCCGACTGCAGTCAAGCCGACTGCATCACACGTGGATGTTTCTATTACTGTTTCTCCTGACGAATTTCTGTCATCAGTTTTTAACCGATTGTTCCAGTCCCACCTGCCCAAGTGCTGTCTGCCATGCGATACGCGTCAGCACCAGGGAGGTCAAGATGGGTTGAAAGCGGTGGAGCTAGACTCGGCAATTCGGAAGCAGCAAGTTCGGTTCATGGTTGTTGGGCAGCAAGGGTGCCTTTTCCCTGACTTGACCGTTGAACAAGCCAAGCTAAGCGCGGGTACAACCATCATTGTGGCTCCCTTCAAGAAAGTAAACCAAAATCGAAGGAACCAGTGTGAGGAGAAAGTCGAGCAGTTCCAGGTCGCTCCCACTCTTGCATCTGCACCTGCAGTTTCTCTTCCTTCGGGTTCTCTTCTTCTTCCTACCACCAAACTGGACCCTATCGAGCCGAGCAGCATGGGAGGAGAGGGACGGAAGCCGAGGAGAGGAGCTTCACCAGGGGTGGGCGGAGCAGGGCTGAAGTGCCGTGATTCTGATGCTGACAGTAGCAAGGAAGACCAGGGGCACAAGGCCAAGGGAGGAGCAGAGTTAAAGTGCCGTGGCTCTGATGCTGGCAGCAGCAAGAACATGGAAGAAGAATTAGCAATGAAAATGGATTACTTGGCAGAGTGTGTTCAGGGGTTGAAAGAGCAGTCCAAGAGAGTGGAGACGGTGTACTTGGCACTCCAGACAGAGAGTGCTCGACTGGGACAGTTACCTGCAGCAGCCGGTGGGGAAGCAGAGCAAGTGGAAAAAAAAGAGGAAGAGTTGTGTGCTGGTGGAATGACATGCTTTTCACAGTACGCTGAGAAATGGGAAGAGAACCTGGAAACTCTTAAGATGCTGCAGAGGGAAGTATGTTTTGCAGTCCAGACCAGCCAGGGTGAACCGAGTCAGCCTGACGAGGCCAGCGGAGGGGCAGCAGAGGAAGCAAGGGCGGAGGAAAGTCCAAAGCCGCGCCAGGTGCTGTCTCATGCCGACATGGTTCATTACTTGGACGTCACAAGCGGGTGGGATGAGGATCTCTGCGAGTGCTGCTTTGATCGTGCTGTGAGCCAGCGAGCACAGCGGGTGCTTGCGATTGAGAGCCTTGAGGAGTTGCGTTGTCACCTGCGCAAGCTACAGCCTCGTTCCATCCCTGCATCTGCCCTGGAGCAGCAGCAGCACAACCAGGCCGCTTTTGAGTCCTCTAACAGGGTATTGGTGCAGGCACTACGAGAGCAACACAGAGCTTCCCATCAGAATCAGTCTGCGCGGAAGCCAGGGATGGCACCTCGCCTTTGTGCGAAAGCAATGATTCTCAAGACTGGTGTAAATGCAACCAATTTCGCCCTTGCTGTGACCACAGTCTTATCAAAACCAGAGCACGGGAAGGATGCAGATATGTTTTTCCATGATGGGAACACTGCAAGCAAAATGCAGGTAGAGAGTGCAGCTATTCTGGTGGCCAGGAAGAGGCCGCTGCAGCACCGCTTGAAGGAGAAAAGGAAAATGGATGGAGGAGCAGGAGCAGGTGTAAAGGGAGTCGTGCCTTCTACTGTGGCTGAGATCGTTGATATGAATGCTAAACTCATGCCTGCCAATAGGCTCGTGCTTGTCAATTCGAACTCTGTGGTTGCTGCACTCATGTACCGGGTCAGTTGCATCTTGCAATGGGTCCGAGTCTACGGCTCAGATTCCATCTCAGAGAAAGAGTGCTTCAAGGACAACCCTCAGAGCAAGGTCCGTCCCATGCGCCACCCGCTTCGGGACCTTCCGAGCCTACTTGTCAGGTTCGGCGCCATTCCCAAGCCTTTGGAGGGAAGGAACGTTCCTTTGGAGTGGGAGGAGTGGCCTGGGGGTGACGAAGCTGCTGTGAAGTTTCCTGTGAACCGAAAAGAGAGGTGTTTTGGGCTTGGGATTGTGGAAGAGCGTGGTGAAGCCCCTGAGAAGCTGACCCAGGACCCTCCTCAGCACACATCTGAAGCAGGAAGGGACGGCAGGCGTGCAAAGGATGCAGAAGGCCAAGGAGGTAGTCACGAAGGTGAATGGAGCATGGCGCGTGGGATAGCTGAAGCTGGAGGGGGCGGCAGGAGTGCAAGGAGGAGAGACTCCAAGGCAATAGAGCTAGGAGGTTGGGAGAAATCCTTGAAGAGCAAGGCGCGTGCGATAGCTGAAGAATTTCCGACCGCCGATGTGAGAGTGACAGTGCTACCGCCGCCGAGAAGGAAGCTTCCCATCGTTCGCTGCCTGGCAGATGTGGATTTTCTGGTAGAGGTAACTGGGTCCCTGATGGACCCCCCTGCATGCGCCCACTGCAAGGCGTGCTCCGCAGATTTCATGCTATATGTGTGCACCGTTGCTCTCATCGCCAACTTCGCCTACCGCCCCCTCAGCCATCTGTTCTCCCGCGTGCTCTCCCTCTTCCCGCCGCCCTCCCTGGGCTTTGACGAGCTCGTTGACTGCCTCGAGTTCCCAGCGCGCCTGCACTGGCCCTTGAACCTGCACATGCTGCTGAGACGAGCCAAGCAGGTGCCTGTGTATTTCCTGGTTCACATGGCAATCTGGTGCGCCCATCCTCTTTTGGAAAAGAGTGAGTTCAAGGGGCGTGGCGTTGGGGCAGCGCAGGGAGTGCAGTCGGGTGCGAGCGAGGGAGGTGGAAAGGAAGGAGGAGAAGGTGGAAGGGTGGAGGTGCAAGGCCGCTGGGACAGTGAGGAGAGCCAGGAGAACGGTGGAGAGGTGTGGGAGGAGGTGCGGATGTGGTATTCCGCAGTGATGGCTGAGTGGAGATTCGATGCGGAGGGTAAGGGAGAGAGCAAGGAGTGCAGAGGTAGCAGGGAGCAGGAGTGGACGGATGAGGAGTGTGACATCACGTGGCTTCTTGATGCAGCTATCTCGCCAAGGTACTGTGAGGGGCTGCTGGGGCAGCGTGGGTCTGCCAAGGGTAGCAGTGGCACTGGTAGCAGCAGCAGCGGCGGCGGCGGCAGAAGTAGCAGCAGCAGCACTGGCAGCAGCAGCAGCAGCAGCGGCGGCGGCGGCAGCAGCAGCAGCGGCAGTAGCAGCAGCAGCAGCACTGGCAGCAAGAGCAGCAGCAGCAGCAGTGCTTGGAGGGGTGGTAGCAGCAGCAGCAGCAGCTCTAGCAAGGGGAAGGGGAAAAAGGGGGAGGAGCCGGCTTATCTGAAGGCATGGCCGGGGGGGGTCAACCTGGTGGCATGTCTGCGAGAGATGCTGCTGGGGGAGCCATGCTACCGCCCTGCCTCCCGTGCTGCCCTTCCCACCCCTGCTGCGTCGTCCACCTTGACTGCTGCTGCTATGTCTTCTTGTTCTGCTGCCTCTTCCACACCTGCTGCCTCTCCCACCCCTGCCACCCCTGAAACCCCTACCACGACCTACCATAACGAGCATTCGTGCTGCTGCTGTTCCGGACATGGAAGGTCGTGCGTGCAGTTCTATTGTCACACTTGGCTCTGACCCTGCTGCTTGTGGGGGGCGTTTGTGTGGTGCTGCTGGGTGTGAAAGGGTGGAGGGCGATGGTGTGAAGTTCAAGAACTGCTCTGGGTGTGGCAAGGTGGCGTATTGCAGCAGAGAGTGCCAAAAGGCGCACTGGCCCTCCCACAAGCTCACATGCCCCGGCAGGATCAGCGGGAAGAGGAGTGGGAAGGATGAGAGCAAGGAGTGCGGCAGGAAAACGGATGAGGAGAGTTGTTGTGAGGGCAGTGCCAAAAGAGTTGGTGCAGGGAGGTGTGGGGATGGTGGATAGTCAATGGGGGTCATGGTCAGTTGCACAGGCAGGTGCAGGGACAGTGTGATGCAATAGCAAGCACAGCTAACAGCACATCCGCAAGGAGAGTTGCATGTACAGTTAGCCCGGGCGAGAGGGAAGGGTGCAGGGGAGAGGGGACGTCAGGAAGGAGGGCTATCATTTGTAAATAGAAATTGCATTGTGGAATGTATAGTTGTCCTGTATACTGGGGCGGTCGCACCAGGAAGGATCGTTTGTGCTTTGTACCGTCATCGCCCGGATATAAGACATATATGTCTTATCTCGTACACGGGCAAAAATGCTTGAGTTATCTTGTAAACGGGATGGTTTAGGGTGTCTTATAAGTCTTATAAATGGAAACTTTTTAAACTACTTAGAAATATTTTCCATACTTCTTGAAAAAGAGTTTCTCATAATGAGTGTGGATGTTGCGAAGGTGCCACTTCGACAACCTCTGCCCGGGACGCCACGTTATGGAGAACACCTGCAGGGGCAAATTTGGTAGGTCCTGGGTCAGCGCGTGGAAGAATTCGCGCTTCGCAAGGGTAAAAATGTACGCGGTATTTCAACTTTCGCTATTATTTATTGAAGTTTCAATTATAAGACATATATGTCTTATCTCGTACACACAAATAGGTGTTTTATAATGAGGCTAGCCTGTTTATAAGAGACACCCGTATAGTAGACAACCCCTGTCTACTCTTCAACACTGTCTTATATCCGGGTGATGACGGTAAAAAAACTGTACCCCATAATGTCTACCCCACTACAGCCTACACAGGCTATATAAAATATGTTTGACACACCCCCATAGGCAAAGTGGAGGAGAACAAGAGGTCACAAGACCAGTCAAGCAAAGCAAAGCAAGCTCAGGGTGGATCACGACGTCACCACACATTCTGAGCACAAGCACAAGGCCACAAGGCCAGTTCACATGCAGAGTTATATATCAAGGTGAACAAGCAAGACACTGATCTCAACCTAGCAAGGGTAAGCATGCAGATGCAGGTATATATAGATCACAGTACAAGCAAAGTCAAGAAGTGAGCAAGTGAGGCCAAGTAGGCACAAGACCTAGCATAGTACAAAAATGCTAATCATCACAAGGCTGAAGTGCCTTGGTAAATATATCAGCAGTGTTGGCCCGAGTGGCCACGTAAGCAAGACGAAGCTGACCACGCTGCTGCAACTCTCGAGCAAGGAAGTAGCGCAGAGCAATGTGCTTCATTCTGTGCTCCAGTCTGTGCTCCTGACACAAGGCAAGCATGGCTTGTTGTCGACGTACAGAACTGGAGGAGAACGAGGCACCTCTCCCAAGTCGGTCAGCAGGTAGGTGAGCCAGCATAACTCCTGTGCAGCCATGGCCCCAGCGTAGATCTCAGCCTCACAACTGGAGCTGAGAACAGAAGACGAGCGGGTAGACCGCCACGAAACAGGGCCGGAACTAAGGCTGAAGGTGTAACCCTGTGACGACCGCTGCGTAGCCAAGTCGTCAACCCAAGAAGCGTCTGCGTGACCAGTGAGGACAACTCGAGCCCGTCCTCCAAGCACAAGCCCCATGCCCGACGTACTGCACAAGTAGCGCAACACCCTCTTAGCTGCATCCATGTGTTCTGGTCGGTGTCTCCCAGGAGCAACATAGCGTGCCAAGATGCTAAGAGGGTATGCCAGGTCAGGTCGAGTGCAGGTCATCAGGTACATGAGGCAGCCAACAAGCTCTGGGTACGGGCCACTCGGCTCTACGGACTCATCCGAAGGCAGACCTAAGAGCGAGTGGCGAGTAGACAGAGGAGTGGCCTGAGGCGAGGAGTACGTGAAGTTGAAGCGCTGAAGGACCTGCTGCACCATGTGTGACTGAGTCAAGGTAATGGTGCGCCGTGCTCTGTCCCGGGTGATCTGCAAGCCAAGATAGCTGCGCAGTTCACCAAGGTTTGTGCACGTGTGTCTCTTCTGCAGCTCCGACTTCACGTGGGCCAGTCCAGTAGTGTCAGCAGTAGCAAAGACCAAGTCGTCGACGTACACAAGGATGTAGAACGGCGGCGGAGTGGTGTCGGTGCGGAGAAACAGCGACGAGTCAGTAGTGGAAGGAGCAAACCCAAGAGCCGCAAGCGTAGTCCTCAGTGTGTCGTGCCACTCACGGGGCACCTGGCGGAGACCGTAGACTGGCCGCCGGAGGCTCCACTGGGTACCAGGAGGAAACGACCCAGTGAAGCCAGGTGGGCGGCGCAGCCAGATCTCCTCGTGCAGGCTGCCCTGTAGGAAGGCTGTGCTGAAGTCAAGAGAGTGAAGCTCGTAGCTGAGCAGCGACGTGCAGCAGTACCCGAAGAGTGGTCATCTTCGGGGTGGGAGAGAAGGTCTGAAAGTAGTCAACTCCCTGCCGCTGACTGAAGCCTCGAGCCACGTAACGCGCCTTGAAGACATGCGGAGAACCCGGCAGCCGCTTCACCCTGAAAATCCACATGCCATCGACAATGTTCGCCCCAGGTGGGGGAACCTCGTCGACGTAGGTGCCTGTGGACTTCCAGGAAGCCATCTCTGCGTCCATGGCTGTCTGCCACTGAGAGGAGTAGGGACCCTCTATCGCCTCTGCGTAAGAGCGCGGGGTCGGGATGTCTGGTGCATCCGGGTCTCCCTCAGGGGCAAGCAGCATGGACACGAGATGAGGTAAAGCAGCAGCAAAACACTGGAACTCCTCTTGCCTGTCCTCAAGGACGTCCGTGCTAAGAGCACACTCACCCCCGACGGACGGGGGACAGTCGGACTCAGACTCAGCAACAAGACTAGCGGCGTAGTCTAAACGACAGTGAGCAGCAAAGTCGACAAGCTCAGCAACCAAGGCAGACGCAGTAGTGGACTCAAACGAAGGGTCAGTGACAACAGTAGCGAGAAGACGCGTGACAGTAGGACTGGGAGCACGAGCAAGGTCTGACGGCGGGTCAGCAAGGGCAGGAAGAGAGGACGCAGGAGGAGACGGCAGAGGGACACGCTGCGGAGCAGTGGAAGGACGCAGAGCCATCTGGTGCGTGCCAGGGACTGGAGGAGGACGCTGACGCGAACCACGATGACTAGTGCGAGCAGCACGAACAGGCGACGCAGGATGAGACTCAGGCTCACGACGCTCCGTAAGACCTCCTGTCAGACCAGTGTAAGGAGAAGGAGCAGGCAGTGGGGAGGCGGGCTATAACTGGGACTGCAATTGGACAGGCGGTGGACACTCTAAGGAAGGAGCAGGACCAGTAGAAGGCGGGAGACCAAGAACCTGCGCAAGGAGAGGAACGAAGTACGGCCGCAGCTGCGCAGCGCCTCCAGAAACAGCAGGGACAGCACCAGCACCCCCAGGGTTAGGTCCAACTCCACCAGCTCCAGCAGCACCTCCAGCAGCTCCAGTAGCGCCAACCCCAGCACCCCCAGGAGCACCGGCTCCAGCAGCACCTCCAGCTCTAGCAGAACCACCAGAAGCCTCAGCAGCACCAGTAGTGCCAGCTCCAGTACCTCCAGCAGCACCCGCTCCAGCAGTACCGCCAGCTCCAGCACCTCCAGCAGCTCCAGCTCCAGTAGCACCACCAGGCCCAGCAGCTCCAGTACCTCCAGTACGAGCACCTCCGGGACCAGTGACTCCAGAACCCCCAGCAGCTCCACCAGCAGTAGAACCTCCAGCGCCCGTAGCACCACCAGCTCCAGCAGCACGGCTCCAGCGCCGAGCAAACATCGCAGCTGCTGTGGAGAGAGTGGCTCCCGCCGGGACGAAGCACCCGAAGGACCTCCAGGCGCAGCACCTCCAGACTCCACACGAGCAGGCTCAGCACCCTCAGGCTCCGCACTGCCAGACTCAGCAACCCCAGGCTCAGCACCCCCAGACTCAGCACCCCCAGGCTCCGCACGCTCAGGCTCAGCACCCCCAGACCCAGCACCCGCAGGCTCAACACCCCTAGCAGCACCACAGTCAACAGCTACCTCGACAGGCTTGACTGCGTCTACCTGGGACACACCTGAGGGGGCAGGACCCTGAGGAGGGGGGGGGGTCTACCGGGGGGGGACCTGGCGCGAGGAAGAGTGGTGGGGGGGGGGAGGGGGGCAGTGCGGTAGGGGAAGAGACGGTAGTAAGGAACCGACTCGTCAAACGTGACGTCATGAGAGGACAGAACACGGCGCGAGGTGGGGTGGTAAAACTGCCAACCAGGCGCGTCAGAGGGGAAGCCAAGGAAGACGCAGGGAACAGCACGGGAGGACAGCTTGTCCGCAGACAAGTCACGGACGAAAGCTCTAGATCCCCAGACACGGAACGCAGACGCATCGCCAACCTTCCCCGTCCACCGCAGAGTAGGTGTGGTCTCCGGCATGGAGACCCGGGGCTGGAGGTTGATCTGATGCGCCGCGTACTGAACCGCGAACGGCCACAGAAAATGGGGAGCAGCCGCATGGATCATGGACGTACGAGCGACGTCCATGACCATGCCAATGCGACGCTCAGCAATCCCATTTTTTTGCGTAGAGGCCGGAAGCGTGAACGTCTGGCGGATGCCCTCCGCACGACAGAAGGCTCGCAGAAGGTCGGAGGAAAACTCTCCACCTCTGTCGGAGTGCAGACGCAGAACAGGAAGGTCCGAGCCGAAACTCTCGTTGAGCAGACGACGGGCAGCGCGGATCCAGTCGATCAGCACCTCAGTGACCTCACCCTTGCGGCGCAAGGGGAAGACGGTGGTCTAACGCGAGTAGTCGTCAACGACCAGCAGAAAGTAGCGCTCGTGACCCTGTCCACGGACGCGGGCTGGGCCCCACACGTCCATGTGAAGAGTCTGCAGCGGAGCCTCCATCAGAGGGAACTCGGAGGAGTGAGGAGTGGCGCGCTGCCACCCCTCGACGCAAGGAACGCAGGTAGGGGCAGGCCCCGGGGGAAGGGGAGGGAGAGACCGGGGAAGACAAGTGACAAGGATACGGGAGGCCATGCCTCGGAGACGAGGCAGGGAGGGGTGACCAATGCGGTGGTGCCAGAGGAG